TTTATTTATTTTTGAGACAGAGAGACAGAGCATGAACGGGGGAGGGGCAGAGAGAGAGGGAGACACAGAATCGGAAGCAGGCTCCAGGCTCCGAGCTGTGAGCACAGAGCCTGATGCGGGCTCTAACTCATGGACTGCGAGATCGTGACCTGAGCCGAAGTCGGACGCTTAACCGACTGAGCCACCCAGGTGCCCCAATGTTTATCTATTTTTGAAAGAGAGAGGCAGAGCATGAGCACTGGAGGGATGGGGGGGGGGGGAAGGATCTGAGGCGGGCTCTGTGCTGACAGCAGAGATCCCGATGCAGGGCTGGAATGCAGGAACTGAATGATCTGAGCCGAAGTCAGATGCTCAACCGACTGAGCCACCCAGATGCCCCTTTAGTCACGCTTCTCAAAGGACTTCAAAGGGAGTCAGATACACAGTTCACAGCCACCCTAATTAAAATCCTCTTTCCTCCCTTCCCTCATTCCTCATGCCCGGAAGCTACTCTGTGCTGCTCATTTCCATCTCCATCTCCCACCAAATAACAATAATGATTAATGATAATAAATTAAGACTCCTCTTCCATACTCAGACTTTTTAGCCGCTTTTCCCACATAGGAGAATCAGTCCTCTTTAGGAAGGGAAGAGAGATGGCGGAGAAACTGGACTGGCGATTACAGGACTCTTTGGTGGGCCAGGGGAGAGGGACCATCCCCGACCAGCCGCTCCCTCACCAATGTCCCACCACAAGGAGCCGGACCGAGATGTTACAAAGTAACAGCCACTGGGAGCCCATGGTGCAGGAAAATGAACAGGAATTTTTGCAACCCACCGACTGGCGGGCTGGTCCCCAGCCCCACCCCTCTGCCTTGAGAGCCTCCATTTGAGACCCCGTAATTCCTGAATAAGCAGGAGAAATCAAAGCAGAAGTCACTTCCCCCTCTCAATAGCAGATGTAGTAGTTTTATTGATTCACTTTAACAATAAATATGGATTTGTTTTATTTAGTATAATATATTGGCAATTAACATACTGGGGGAAAATCATTCCGAGGTTGTCAGTGACACTAGTAAATTTTGGACCTTCCACTTTATAACTAATAAATTTTAACGCAAAGTTAAACAATAATGAAGTATCATCTCTCATCCGTTAAATAAAAAAAAAGTAAAATGACAAAACCAAAAGTTGGTGACATTTTTGGGAAAAATATATTCATATGTTTTTAGTACAATTCTTTTTTGAAGAGAGAGGTGATTTGACAGTATTCCTCAATTTCCATATAATATTTATTCGCAAAACCAAAAGGTAAAGGAGGGGTGCCTGAGAGGTTCAGTCGGTTAAGCACCCGACTTTGGCTCAGGTCCTGATCTTGTAGTTCATGGGTTCAAGACCCGTGTCAGGCTCTGTGCTGACAGCTCAGAGCCTACAGCCTGCTTCGGATTCTGTCTCCCTCTGCCCCTCCCCCGCTTGTGCTCTGTCTCTCTTTCAAAAATAAACAAACATTTGAAAAGATTAAAAAAAAAAAGATAAAGGAAATTAGGGCACCTGGTTGGCTCAGTCAGAAGAGCATGTGACTCTTGATCTCAGGGTCCTCAGTTTGAGCCCCATATTGGATGTAGAGATTACTTAAATAAATAAACATAAAAAAGATAAAGTGGGGGCACCTGGGTGGCTCAGTCGGTTAGGCCTCCGACTTGGGCTCAGGTCATGATCTCACTGTTCCCGAATTCAAGCCCCACGTCGGGCTCTGTGTTGACAGTTCGGAGCCTGGAGCCTGCTTCGGATTCTGTCTCCCTCTCTCTCTCTCTCTGTCCCTCCCCTGCTCATACTCTGTCTCTCTCAAAAATAAGTAAACATTTAAAAATTTTTTAAAAAATAAAGGAAATCATACTTATCTTCTCATTACTCATCGCTGTCACCCTCCAGGGCTAGGCACAGATTGTGGTCATCTTTTTTTTTTTTTTTTATTCTAGAGAGAGTGAGCCCAAGTGAGGGAGGGGCCAAGGGAGGGAGAGGGAGAGAATCCCAAGCAGGCCCCACACTCAGCACAGAGCTGACCCTGAGACCATGACCTGAGCCCATATCAAGAGTCGGACACTCAACCGCCCATCCAGGCGTCCTCCAATATTTTTCACTGTGGTAAGATACACATAAAAATCAACCATTCTAACCATTTTTAATGCACAGTGCAGGGATATTAAGTACATATGATTATGCAACAATTCCCACCATCCATCCCCAGAACTCTTTTCTTTTTCCCACACTGTGTAGCTGTTAGGCACTAACTCCCCATGTCCCTCTTCCCCCAGCTCCTGGCACCCACCACTCTACTTTCTGCCTCTGCGAATTTGACTCCTCTATGTACTTCACAAAAGTGGAGTCATACAGTATCATCTTTGTGTGATGGGCTTGTTGCCCTTAGCATCATGTCCCCAAAGTTCATCCATGTTGTAGCATATGTAGGTCAAAAGTTCCTTCCTTTTGGAGACTGAATAATATGTAATTGTATGTGTAAGCCACATTTGTTGATTCATTCATCTGTTGATGGGCTGCAACCACCTTCCGGTTGTTGTGAACAAGGCTGCTGTGAACGTGGGTGTTCAAATATTTCTTCGAGACCCTGCTTTCAATTCCTTTGGGGATATGCCCAGAAGTTGAATTGCTGAATCATATGGTGTATTGTCTCATCTGTTTTGGGAAGTGATCTGGCTTCTGGATTTCAGGGTATTAGGAGCTTGGAGGAGACTGGCTGTGTGACCTTGAACAGGTCACTTTACCTCTCTGAGAACAGATCCCTGTTTCCAAGCAGGGACTTTTGTTAACCACACACGTTCCCAGGCCCCTTTTCCTGGGACGTTCTAATTCAGTGCCTAGCCTGGGCCCCAGGAATTTGAAATTTTTCTGAAGGAGCCTCAGGTGATTTTTATCATCAAACAAGTTTAGGAATCACAAGACCCGAGAATTTCCAAAGGCCCTTGCAGCTCTGACCTTTTATGACCTCAGTGGTTAGGAGACTAGTATCTGGAGTCAGACTGACTGGGTTTAATTCCTAGTTGCCAGTTATCAGGACCACCTGAATTTCTTCACCTGCTAAAGGAGGATAAGCGCCTACCACAGGACTGTTGCACAAAGTAAATGGAAATAAAGAAATGAGACGTTAGCATATACCTAGCACTCAGGAAAAAAAAAAAAGTCCTCTAATAACTGTGTTTTTCCCAGTCTTCCTCTCCTTAAGACTGGGGTGTCCTCCCCCAGTGGGTGGGTTCCTGTTGCCACCTGGTGGCGGAGATAAGTCAGTGCACTCCCATAGGCATTTTCTCTTTTCCCACCCCACCCTGCCCCAACTCCAGCCTGGCCCATTTGATCTCAAGCTCCCCCTATTCAGAATCGTCAAGCCCCTCAGTGAGGGCAGAAGCTCAAGGTGGGAAAGCCTGGGGCCTGAGGGTCCCAACAGCCCCTAAAGTCTATTTCACAGCCTTATTTTAATGATGGTGAGTCACTGGCGTCCCTCTTCCTTTATGGGTGGTCCCGCCTTGGCCTGATTCTGCAAGAGGCCAGGGCTTGGTCTGTTCTGCCCCCTCCTTAAATAGTAAGGATAGAGCTGAATGCCAGCTCTGTGCTATGGGACTTACAGACACCTCATTCAGGCCTGGCAATCCCTACGTTGTCTTTTCCACCGATCTTCTTCCACACATGAGGAAATGGAAGCTCAGAGAAGTCACGTAGCTGGCACAAAGTCACACAGCTTGCAACGATAGGGCCAAGTCTCAAACCCAGGTAGATCTTGACCCACAGCTATTCCACTAAGCCAGAAGGCCTCTAAACTGGTGGTTCTCCACCTTGGCTGGACATTGAATTCACCAGGAAAGCCTTAAAGAACACCAAAGCCCAGGGGCACCTTGGTGGCTCACTCGGTTAAGCATCTGGCTCTTGATTTGGGCTCAGGTCATGATCTCACAGGTGTGTGAGTTTTAGCTGTATGCTGACGACACAAAGCCTCATTGGGATTCTCTCTGCCCCTCCTCTGCTTGTGCTCTCTCTCGCTCTCTCTCTCAAAATAAATAAATAAACTTAAAAAAGGAAGAAGAAGAAGAATACTGGAGCCTGGGCCCTACCTCAGACATTCTGGTTAATTAGTCTGGGGTGTGGCTTGACCACTGGGGTTTTGTAACACCCAGGAAGAGTATTCTTGTGGACAGCCAGGGTGAGAACCACTGCTGTAAACTCACGCATTCTGTTTTGGTCCTTGGGGCTTTGCTCGAGGGTGAGTGGGCCATGGGACAGCCCCCAGCCTGGAGCAGGAAGCCTGGTTCTACTGCACCGAGCTTGGAGGAGAGTGTGTTCCCGTGTACGCCAACAACCTTCTCTCTGGAGCGAGGCCTTCGGATGTGGGACCCCCGGTTCTCCTTCAAACTGGCTGTGTGGCCTTGGGGAGGTGACTCTGCGTCTCTGTGAAGTTGCCTCGTATATTAAACGTGTATAAAAGTAGCATCTACCACATAAAACGGTTGAGGGTATTAAACGAGCTAAAGCACTTAAGGCAGATAAAGCACTTAAGGCAGGACCGGGAACCCAGCAAACTCTCAGTTCGTGTTACAATGGCTGCTACTACACCAGTAGCTATAACACCGCTAGTGTTACTATTATTCCTGACTCTAACAATGGTTCCCTCTGTGGACTACTCACCAACTGAGAAGTAGCAGAAGTCCTCGTTCCCCTTTTAGTGTTACCATACTCCCTGCGGGGGGGGGGGGGGGGGGGGGGGGGGGGGGGGCGGGCTAGCAATTACAGGGAGCCCCTCCCACAGGCGGGCCCAAGACTCGAACTGGCCAATCGGGTACCCCCTCCCTCTTGGCCTAAATCGAGTCGTCCAAGGAGAAGCACGTGAGCCAAGTGGAGCCACTCAGGCCCCGCTGGGGAGGGGCGATGGTGGAGTCCTATGATCAGGAAGTCGCCAGCGGCCCCCTTTCCCGCCACCAGAGGAAAGCAGAGAGGGCGAGAGACTTGAGGACACCTTTTGAGCCCCTGGGTTCGGTTCGGCTTGCCCGAGGTGAGAGTGTTCCCAGCTGGCCCAGTTAAGGGGCCAGGCAAGCAGAGTCCTGCCTGCCTTTAGGTTGGTGTCTAGTCCCTGCTCATCCCCGAGGCCACTGGAGATTTGGCTGAGATGATGTGCTAGGAAGTGGCTTCTTACCCCGAGGTTGAGTCCCGAAGGCAACTCTCAAATCACACTAGTTGAAAGTGAACATCCGATGTAGCACTTTTCCTCTGGACAACCCCGCACAGATTGAAGACTAGGGAGACCTTCCAACCAATGCACAGCTTGGTCCTGGACCTGTAAAAGCCGTTATTCAGTTAGCAAATGGGGTCTTTGGCCAAGGGTACTGCAGAGTTCATTAGGCGAGTCTGGCAAGTTACGTGTAAGTTTGCAATTGCAGGATGAAAAGGGAAAATCTCATAAATTGCCTGTCAAGTGTTGCACCAGGACGCGCTCATGCACCACCCTGGAGACGCACAAACGGACCAGGGACAAGGGCTGCAGGCGGTGCTCTACCCGTGCTGGGACCCATCCATGTCTTGGCCCCTGAGCGCCAGGCAGACAGGCAGGCAGTTAAGGACCCATTTGTTTCGAAAATCTGTATCTGTAAACACAGGAAACACTAGACTCAGTTTGTGGAACCAAGAGAATAAGAGAAAGGCAGGGTCTCACCTTCCTGTTCACAGATAGTTCTGTCTCTCCTCATTCAGTAACTCAACAGGGGCTCTGTGCCAGGCCCTGGACGGACAGCTGTGAACAGGATGTTCAGAGTCCCTTCCCTCATGGAGCTTGCCGTCCACAGCTCATGTGACGTGGCTCCATCATTCACAGAAGTGTGGAGAACTACCCAAAGGGGAAGCAATTATCAGTCTTTTCCTGAGGGACTCCTGGAGACAGCGCTGTATTGCAGTGGTTCTCAAATGTGAGCGGGCCTTCAAATCCCCCAGAAGGGTGCTAGAATGCTGATTGCTAGCCTCCCCCCCCCCCCCCCCCCCCCCCCCCCCAGAGCTGCTGATGGTCAATGGTGAAGTCTGAGAATTTGCACTTCCGGCACGTTCCCAGCAGCTGATGCTGCTGGTCCAGGGACCCCACTTTGAGAACCACTACTTTATTGAGACTGAGAATTTCAGGCACCATAGAAGGAAGGCTCTGACTGTCTAAGGAATTTTTAAAACCCCTACTGCTGAAGCCCCATGGCATACTAATTAACTGGGAAATTCTGGAAGATAAGACATTGGCATTTTTTTAAAAAACCCTCAATAGGGGCACCTGGCTGGCTCAGTCAGAGGAGCATGCGACTCTTGGTCTCAGGGTTGCGAGTTCAAGACCCACGTTGGGTGTAGAGATTACTAAAAATAAATAAATAAACTTAAAAAAATACCCCCCCCCCAAATGATTCCAATTCACAGCCATGGTTGGGCACCACAGCCCCAAAATAACCCAAACCCAGACTGAAATTTAGTTTTACCCAGATTTGCCTTCAGCTTCGCCCAGAGCTCTGAGGATATCCATTTCTCCCAGTTGATCTCCTCTTGGGCCAGCCCTGTGCTAGGCCATCTGCAAACTGTGTTACCAATCTCCCCACAGCCCTGCAGGGCCTCTGTCATTATCCCATTTCATAGATGGAGAAACCAAGGGCGTTCATCTACCCAGGGAAGAACGTGGCAGAGCAGATTCAAGCCTAACGCTGCCCAGCTTCCTCTTTCTCCCCTAAGCTGCCTTACCTGCCTTAGCGTTTCGTGGGAGTGCGTGACATTTGGGGCAGGACCACTGTGCCTGCTTCCCACATTACAGGACGTCAACTCCAGCTCCTTCCTCTAAACACTGAGCAACCCCTCCTCCCAGTCTTTGTGCCCTGCCTGAGAGCCACTGCATCAAACCCTAAGCACCAGCTGCATCCCAGAACCCTTAAATGTCCATTTAAAAAAAAAATGCTTATTTATTTTTGAGAGAGAGAGAGACAAAGAGCAAGTAGGGGAGGGGCAAAGAGAGAGGGAGACCCAGAATCCCAGACAGGCTCCAGGCTCTGAGCTGTCAGCGCAACGCCTGACACAGGATTTGAACCTACAAACCATGAGATCATGACTGGAGCCAAAGTTGAACGACTGAGCCACCCAGGCGCCCCCATTTCTTTTTTTTTAATGTTCTTTTTTTTTTCTTTAATGTTTATTTATTTTTGAGAGAAAGAGACAGACAGACAGACTGTGAGCAGGGGAGGGGTAGAGAGAGAGAGGGAGAGAGGATCTGAAGCGGGCTTTTTGCTGACAGAGGTGAGCCCTTAGGTGGGGCTCAAACCCACCAACCGTGAGATCATGACCCAGGCCGAAGTCAGACACTCAACTGACTGAGCCACCTTGGCGTCCCTTAATTGTCCGTTTCTAAGTGTGCCAAACACCTCCCGTGACACCTAATCCCACCCTTGCAATTCTTCCTGTTTCTGACCTGAAATCCAACTCTAGTGTAAACTTCAGCCCTCAACCTCACCCCCACCTGACTCTAACCATGATCAAGTTCCCGAACGGTTGGTTAAATTTAATGCCGACCTCACAGCCTTCCTAAAATCTCATGTCCAGACCCAATCCTTCAGATGCTGTCATTGAGCCAAGTCTTAACTATACATCCTCACTTCAGCTGTCTCCTGCATGCTTTCTACTTATTCTCCACAGCCTTCCTGAATGTACAGTTCCTGTCAGCTCATATCCTGTTCCACAGCTTCCAAAGGCTTCTTAGCACCCACCAATACCCACTAGCATTAAATATCATTTTGGGCATGACCCAAACATAACTTTCCACTTGTAGCCATTAGCATTAGGTCTGATTACAAGTAACGGAAAATCCCCATGTCACAGTGACTTAAACAAGATGGGTTTCTTTTCTTTGCTCTCTCTCTCTCTCTCAAATCAAGGCTCCCAGCTGCTTGCTCCACAGTCGCAGCTCACTTCCCCCAAAGTTACCTCATGGTCCAATATGGCTGCAAGAGCACCAGCCGCTAGGTCCTCTTGCCAGCCAGTAGGAAGGAAAAAGTAACCAAGAAGGAAAAAGTAACCAAGAAGGATGCACCCCTCCCGTAAAGAACACTTCCCAGAAGTGACAGGCACACTTCCACTTACATCCCAATGGCCAGAATTTGGCCACGTGGTGACGTGGCTGCAAGGAAAGCCAGAAAATATCTTTTTCTGGGTGTCCTTATGTTTAGCTACAAATCAGAGGGTTATTATTAAGGAAGAAGACATATTGGAGGACAAGTAGATGCGCCCAGACCATTATCTGTCCCTGCCTCCCCCTAAGAAGGACCTCAGTTTTGAATCTCATATCATCTGACTACACCGTTCTTTGAAGATTTGGGTCTTGCCTCGCTGACTCTCCTTCATGTCCCCGTGCTAATTCCTGGCGATTTCCGCAGCCAAGTAAACCTTTCCAGTGCCCAGCCTCTCAGTCCTCTCTGATCTTGTCCTCTGATCCTTTCCTCTCTGATCTTGTCCTCAACTTGCCCTCTGCCACTAGGTTCTATCACTGCTGTGTCACAGTGAACCAACCCCTCAGGATCTCCATTTCATACCTCCCACTCTCTGACCCAACTCCCTCCCTCCGGCCCCCCAACTCCCACCACCTTTCAATCCCACCAGAAACTACATCCACTGAGGAATCTGTCACCTTTCCCTGTCCCTTTAACATACAGATATGTTATTTCTCCCAACTTAAAAGAAAAAAACAAAAAAAAACACCTCCCTCTCAAATCCACTCTACCCACTAGCCACTACCCCATCTCTGTACTCTCCGAGCCCTCCTCATTCCCTGTCTTCACATTCTCTCTTAAACCCACTCCAGGCAGGATTTGGCCACGCCACTCCTCCCAGCAACTCCCTTGTCTGCACCACCTGCAACCTCCATGGTAGGACAGCCAGCAACCAGCTTCCTTGCTCACCTACCGTGACCCGTCCCATCATGTGCCCAATGGGGACAGCCCTGGTTTATGTTTGTTGCTCTGGTGTGATTTTGTTTTGTTATTAAAGTTTATTTGAGAGGGGCGCCTGGGTGGCGCAGTCGGTTAAGCGTCCGACTTCAACCAGGTCACGATCTTGTGGTCCGTGAGTTCGAGCCCCGCGTCAGGCTCTGGGCTTGATGGCTCAGAGCCTGGAGCCTGTTTCCGATTCTCTGTCTCCCTCTCTCTCTGACCCTCCCCCGTTCATGCTCTGTCTCTCCCTGTCCTAAAAATAAATAAACGTTGAAAAAAAAAATTAAAGTTTATTTGAGAGAAAGGGAGAGAGAGGGCACGTGTGCAAGTGGGGGAGAGGCAGAGAATTCCAAACAGGCTCTGAGCTAACAGAGCGGGGCTCGAACTCACGAACTGTGAGATCATGCCCTGAGCCGACACCAAGAGTCAAGTGACCGATTGAGCCACCCAGGCGCCCCGCTCTGGTGTGATTTTGAATAGAATTCCCCTTCACTGCCAAGTGTCTGGGCTTGGACAATAAATTGCACCTGCCGCCCTCTCCCTCAGCAGGGTCTGACAGAGTGGCCTGCTCTCCTCCTCCCACACTCAGGCGTTTCTTCCTCCTTCCCTCCCTGGCTTCTCCTCAGGATCCTCAGCTGGTCCCTCCTCACCTCCCAGGATCTTCTGACATCATGGTGCCCCTGGGCTCAGTCCTCAGTCGCTCCTCTGCTCTATCTCCACTCATTCCCTCAACCATCTCAGCCAAGTGTTTGCCTGTAACTGTGATGTATGGACTGATGACTCCTAACGTTACATTTCTAGCCCAGACCATATATCCGGCTGCCCTCGTGACATCACACGTCGATGTCCAATTGGCACTTTATTTTTTTTTTTTAAGTTTTTATTTATTCATTTAAGTAATCCCTCCACCCAACATGGGGCTCAAACAATTCTGAGATCAAGGGTCACATGTCTTCCAACTGAGCCAGCCAGGAGCCCCTCAGGTTGGCAATTTAAACTGAACATGTTCACGGGCGCATGGGTGGCTCAGCATCTGACTTCAGCTCAGGTCATGATCTCGAGGTTAGTGAGTTCAAGCCCCGCATCGGGCTCGGTGCTGTCCGCGCAGAGCCTGCTTCGGATCCTCTGTCCCCCAACTCTCTGCCCCTCTCAAAATAAATGTTCTCTCTCAAAATAAATGTTTGTGTTCTTTCAAAAATAAATGATTTTTTAAAATAAATAAATAGGGGCGCCTGGGTGGCTCAGTCGGTCAAGCATCCAACTTTGGCTCAGGTCATCATCTCACAGTTCGTGGGTTTGAGCCCTGCGTCAGGCTCTGTGCTGACAGCTTGGAGCCTGGAGCCTGGATCTGTGTGTCTCTCTCTGCCCCTCCCCTGCTTGTGCTCTGTCTCTGTCTCACACTCTCTCTCTCTCTGTCTCTCAGAAATAAATAAACATTAAAAAAAAAAAAGGGAGAAGAAGGTATTAGAGGTTATCTGTGTTCCTGATCTGATTCTTATTCTTAAACTGACCTGCATTTTAACCAAAATCTTGGTGCTCAATCCTAAATCCACCCCTCACCCAAATCTGAACATTATTTACATTGTCTGTAAATTCCCCACACGTGCTCTCCAAGACCCTGAGGAGGGTCTTTTTATTCTTTTTTATTCTTTTCTGAATTTTCCTTTGCTACTTTCTCTTCCTATCATGATCTGGACCTGCATTACTTCTCCAAGTATTTTTTTAAAAATACACTTGCAGGGGGCGCCTGGGTGGCTCAGTCGGTTAAGCGGCTGACTTCGGCTCAGGTCACGATCTCACGGTCCGTGAG